AACGAACAAGAATGGGCCCATTAGACTACCCTGAGGGATACCAGATGACGACACATTGACCCAATTGGAGAAGGAACCTTCTATGTGCACCCTCTGATATCTAGAATGAAGGTAGTCGGAGAACCAACTGTATGATGGACCATCGATGCCATATAATGATAACTTGTGCAGGACAAGGTTGTGCGGCACAGAATCAAACGCCTTACTGAAATCAAGATAAAAAACATCCCATTCTTGTGCAGCGTCGTGAGTTCTACCCAGATCGTGAGGTACAGTAAGTAAATGTGTGACTCAGGATTTCCTCGGAACAAAGCCATGCTGCTTTAGTGACAAAAGCTCAAGGAGTTTGGGTATGAGCTTATCAAGTATACAACGTTCACACAGCTTGCTGACGACCGGGAGGAGGGATATGTAGTTAGATATCACTGATTTATCTTCCATTTTTGAGGACCGGTACAACATTAGACCTTTTCCATTCCAGAGCAGCTTACCCAACCGTAGTGATAGATTAAACAGAGCACATAGAGATGGTGCTAGCTCGGAGGCACACTCTTTTCGAATCTTCGGATGAATGAAATCAGGTCCAGGAGACTTACTTGGATCAACCTTCAGTGATGCATTACGAACGTCTTCTTGATCCAAGATGATGTCACTAATATTGATGAGCGAGTATTGTGTGGTGTCGATATCTGTAGGTAGGACTGTACCTGTGTTGAAGACTGAGGTAAAATAATAATTGAACTCTTCAGCCTTAGTACATGGTTTGGTAAATACTTTGTCGTCAATGGTGATTGAATCAGGAATGGAAGGACGATTGGTCAGTCGGTTAAAAAAGTTCCAAAATCGTTTGGGCTGAGAGGAGCTGTGCATAGCATGGGTAATTTTCCGAACCACGTTATAATGTTGGAGAAAGTTATTTGAACACAGATTTCGTCCTCATCATATACTGAATATTCTCTTTAGCTTGCTTAACAAACTGTTTATCAATTGGCAAAATAAGGAACCAAATGGACGGACTGATTAGAAAGTAATGGACGGAGCGGCAAGAACTTATCAAGTTGAATGACTGTTTTGAAGCTGTTCAAACTTTTCAAATCATGTTTTTTTTTACTTCGCAAAATCTCTAGGCCATTT